TTTTCATATTTACAATATTATTCTGAAGTATCAGTATTATTGCTTCATTAAGTCTGTTAGTTTATTTTCCAACCCGTAAAGTCTCTCTCCCTTATTCTCTTTTCTCTTCCCTTCTAGGGAGGGGAGAGGGGTTAATAGAGAGCATCTGTCCAGGGTTTAGTGGCCGGCCCAGCCCTAAACCATGACAAAAGGTTTTTTCCTTTCCTCACAAAAGGAAATACCTCATATCTGGAGCAACCTTAACTTTCCTCTGCCCCTCGGAAGTCAGACGTACACTTCTGAAAATAATTCTGGACTGATACTTGGTCAAATGAGGGCTTCTCATGATAGGTCTGTTAACTACCAGCGACAGAATTATGCATTCCTTAGTTGATGGGAGTGCTGCTTGCCATGCTGGCATGCCAAGAAGGAGTGAAGGCTTACTTTGCTTTATTTCCTCCGTATGTTGTCAGATGAAGATGTTCTGACTGGCTTCTTGGCATCTTTAGCTGGCATGGACTTCGAATAGTAAGAAAACCGAGGGCTGATTACAAATAATCCACGTTTTATATTCTTGCATTGGAAGACAAAGCAGAAGAAGGTGTGTGTGTGTTCAGCCTTGAGAGATTATTCTGCTCCCAGCCATTGATCATGTGTTTATTTACAGAGGGATCCAGTATCCAGAAGAATCCCAGTGACTCAGGGTGACTGTTTTCTCTGTGAAGAGGCATTTTCTGTTGTCAGGAAATACACGCATGAGATCATAAGGATTCTGGCTAATTTTAATCTGGAGACTCTTGCACAGTAATTGACTTGAATCCAGTTTCAAGATCCAGTGCTGTAAGGAAGATGTGATTGATCATTAAACGACTGTTTGTATTTATACACCACATCAGTGCATTGTCACTGCCCTCTCTGTGAATGTGAAGTGTGTTAAGATATGGATTGTATAGAAATAACTTGTAATATCTCAGTCTTTTAGTGCTGTTAGGACACATGCAAACTTTTCTTCAGTTTCATTTCCTTCTGAATACTCTTTCTGGTAACATTCATTACATTGGTTTGGTTTGCAGTGGTTGGACTATAACATTTTGTGAATAATGCGTCCTCCTCTTTTTTGATAAGTAAAGTTGACAGTGACCATTTGTGACAGAAATAAGGGAGTATCACAGATGTGTGTTTATGCATATTCATGTTGTCCACATTTAATATTCCATGCGCAGTTAAAAAGTGACAGTGCGTTAATGATGAGATGCTGGTGATCTTTAAGCGTAAGTCGGACAGATGTCCAGGAAACATCTTTATTATCCTTCTCTTATCCCTGCTTTTCAGTAGCTGGGACTTTAAATTTGCAAGACAGTCAGCTGCAGCCCAAAGGTGAACCATTTGTATCTGCCTCCTGCGTGCTGCAACTGCCTTTCCACAAGCTGGCAAGTATTCTTTTCTCCTGTTATTTGAACTTGGTTTCCCATCTCTCTTACTCTAGAGGAAATGATTGTTCCTCAGAGCACTGACTTGAACACTTAATATTAAACCTAATCTCTGGTTCAAAATACTATTAGCCTTTCCTTCTGTGTTGTAATCATTATTTAAATTTATATCTCCATCTACAGGTTTTCCATTTATTAGGTGTGTGTTGATCAAGAGAATTTGGTAGGATGACATTCCATCACTGGAAATTAATTTTACTAACTCGGTGTAACAAAAAAATTTCCAATGGAAAGTTCAATTAAATTCCATGGACATAATCCAGTAGAGTTTGCTCTCACCTTTATTTCTTGTGTGATTTCATGTGCTTTTGTCTGGTTTTGTTTTCCTCTTTTCAGGAAGAACACAGTTTAAAGTGGTAATTAAAGCACTTTCTCCAAAAGAAGCCACCAGAATTTATACCCCTCTCCCTTTGGATAGAAATGATGGCACGTTTCTTATGCGGTATCGGATGTATGGGAGTGTCAGAAAAGGGTTAAAAATTGAGATACTTTATGGTGATCAGCATGTAGCTCAATCTCCTTATATTTTGAAAGGTAAGGATATTTTTTATTTAATGTAATGTATGATGGTAGGTATAGAAATGCTATGGACTAATTTACTGCTAGAGGAAGAGGCTGGAAATTAGGGGTTTGTTTGCTCTTATTACACTGATTATACATTAAAAATGCACTTTGTGCTAAAGGTAAAGACTTCTGTCCCAGAGTTCTGAATTAGGCTAAAATTGAGTCTGTAATACCTGAGCTTTGGTAGTTATGGATAGTTAGCACACTTCTGAATATTCCACATGGTTGGCAGGTAGCACAGTAATGGAGTTTCATTCTGCAGGTTAGTTTTATCCCGATAACAACAAATCTCATATTTTGATTTCTGAAAAGAGAAGAATGTTGCAGTTTTCTCAATTACACTGCTAAACCCCAGAAATGTCATAGGGAGGATGATTTCCCAGGAAATCTTTAGAAAACCTGCAATAAAAATGTCACGCCACTGTAATTTCTAGATTTATGTGCCCGTGTGTTCAGGGAATTATGATTGATGTATAATCATGAATATAGACACTCAGTGCTTTGTTCTCCTCAGGACCCGTTTATCATGAATATTGTGACTGTCCTGAAGAAGACCCTGAGACCTGGCAGAACGTGATGTCTTGTCCATCCCAAGAACCTCAGATTACGAACGACTTCATTTCTTTTCCCACCATTGATCTTCAGCGAATGCTTGAGGAAATCCCAGCCAAGTTCAGTCAAACAAGAGGTGCTATCGTTCATTACACTATTCTCAATAATCGCATCTACCGTCGCTCCCTAGGGAAGTACACAGACTTCAAAATGTTCTCCGATGAAATGTTCCTGTCACTGGCAAGAAAGGTACCAGTTTTGCTCATTTACTTAAGGTTATTAAGTCACTTTCTGATGTGGCAGTACCGTATTCGTTGTTGTATCTTCAGATTTATAATTCCTAAAGTAAGATTTGACTCTCTTGCTTTTTCAGTCAAGTTGACTGTATCTTAGGGGTAATGAGTGGGAGCTGAGCTTGACTGTAATGAAGCTGCTAGGAAAGCTGCAGGGGCCAAGGTCTGACTCTGCCAGCCTTTTCCTGTGCTCTGTGCATGCTCCATTCATACCTGCTTCTGGGACAGAAACTTGAAATTTAGACCTTAAGCTCAGCTAAATCTGTAACTATCTGTATTGATTTTGTATGGCATAAGAGGACTGAGGAATATACTGTATGTAAGAGTGACAAACAGCTTCTGTCTTTCTGTTATTATGCTTTCTTGGGTATGCATTTAGGTTCATCTTCCTGATGTGGAGTTTTATCTTAACGTTGGGGATTGGCCAGTTGAGTATCGAAAAGCTAACAATACACCTGGTCCTATACCTATCATCTCATGGTGTGGCTCTGTGGATTCAAGAGATATAGTCCTTCCAACCTATGATGTAACCCACTCGACTCTCGAAACCCTGCGTGGAGTCACGAACGATCTCCTTTCTATTCAAGGACATACAGGTAACTTAGAGATTGGGGATTTTAAAAGAGAATTTGTAAATTCCATCAAAGCAGCAAGTTGCATTCAAATGATGGGTTGAAATCTTCAGCTCACAAGTGCCTTGGGAGGTCTCTCAATACAAGTAGGTGTGTCTTTACAGATTCTAATAACTTTCAACACTGCTACTAAGCAGGTGTTTAGTAAGCATTCAGAGCCAGATTTTAAGACGTCCAGATCACAATAATGGTGAATTTTAACTCAAAGATATCCAGAAGATAGATACTGTGACCTGTCAGGGTAAAAGTAAATATAATTAAAAGGCCTCTCTTCTCAGTGAAGGCCCTGAGTATGCTCCTTCTAGTCAAATAGGCATGCTTTTCCTGACAGTGATGTGGTCCAATGTTCTGTTTACGTATAAATGAATCTGAATCTTGAAAGAAGTGAACCAGTGCTGTGCTGCAACCTCTTTCAAATAAGAAAATATTGTCTATACAAAAAAATTCTGCAGAATGGGTTCTTCTGAATTGTTTTTCTAGCTTTGAAGGAAGAGTCAGTTTTACTGACAGCTGTCCAGCCCCTCTGGGAAATTCATAAATACTTAGGGGTCAGACAGATGGCATGAACAATACGTAAGGAGTAAAACTTGAGTGAGGAGGTATTTCTTTTTATTTGATTAGTTCACAGTTTCTCTCTATTAGTTTGTAGATTAAATATGTTAATTCATCAGGTTGAAGCACTCTGTGTTTACTGATTTAATACAGCTGTTTTTCCAATTAGGACACAGTAAAAGCCTACTTCACTTTAGTAGGTCCTTTAAGGAAATTTCCAGCAGAAGGATCAGAAAGGATATATTTGGTGTTTTTAAAAGCAGGCAGTAAGCAGAGATGAATTCTTTCAGGCTCCTGCTAAGTATTTTGAGGACACAGTATAGCCATTTTTTTCTCCTTTTTAAGTCATCATTAAGTGATTCCTTCAAGATCTAACTAAATTGCTGGGTAACAGAAGTGGATTTTACTAAAGAAATTTTGGTTGTTTTGACAGGCTTTCTGGACAGACAATTACTTTAATTATTAGTATTTTACTTACATAATTCGATTATAATCCCTTGTGTAACTTTCAAGATATTTCAAGTTACTTAAATATAAAATTGTTGAGTAGAAGAGCAATTCTCTGCTTTTCCTGTTATAAGAGACTCAGTTTCTCATACCAAAATTGAAGCTAGAACTGGGAGTTTAAGCCCTGTGATTAATAAGTGATTCATGGAAATCATGCCTGTTTTACCATGTCTCTGAGCATAATGCCACTGTCATAGCAAGTTCCTTGTTTGCACTAAACATATCATGAACATTTCATTGCTGTTTGCTTTTATCTTATCACTCAATGCTTGTAGGCCCCTTCTGGGAAAACAAAACTGAGCGAGCCTTATTTAGAGGTCGAGACAGCCGAGAGGAACGTCTCCGTCTTGTCATGTTATCCAAGGAATATCCAGAACTACTAGATGCTGGAATAACAGGATATTTCTTCTTCAGAGAAAAAGAAAAAGAGCTGGGAAAGGTTCAGCTGATGGGCTTCTTTGACTTCTTTAAGGTAGAAAGTAAATTACAGTCTTGGATTAATTTTGCTCTCAAGTTCTTGCCAACTGAAAAGACAAGGCTTACTTCTGCTAATTCCATTCAGTAAACGAAACAGTTATGCTTACACTGGGAATACTGGTCCATGCAGGGTAGATTGAGCACCTGTAGTCAAAGTCATAGTATGAGACACTTCTAAAGAAAGCCACTGTGCTTTTTTTGTGGAGTTCCTTAGAGTTCTTGGAGATTATTGTTTTTTTAATAGATTGAGAAATTTGATTTCTCACCATCGGGGTGTTTATTTATTTGGGCTAAATATTAAAACAGTGGACACAACTTGGGTCCATTGCAAGTACAGTATGGATGTCCCCATCTTTCTTATAAGCCCCCTTTAAGTACTGAAAGGCCCCAGTGAGGTCTCCCCAGAGCCTTCTCTTCTCCAGGCTGAACAACCCCAACTCTCTCAGCCGGTCCTCATAGGAAAGATGCTCCAGAACCTCTGATCATTTTTGTGGCCCTCCTCTGGACCTGCTCCAACAGGTCCATGTCTTTCCTGTACTGAGGACTCCAGAACTGGACGCAGTACTCCAGGTGGGGTCTCACGAGAGCAGAGTAGAGGGGCAGAATCACCTCACTTGACCTGCTGGCCATGTTTCTTTTGATGCAGCCCAGGATACCATTGGCTTTCTGGGCTGCCGGCAGACATTGTCAGCTCATGTCAAGTTTTTAATCTACCAGTACCCCCAAGTCCTTCTCAGGGCTGTTCTTAATCCATTCATCCCCCAGTCTGTATTGACACTGGGCACTGCCCTAACCCCTGTGCAGGACCTTGCATTTGGCCTTGTTGAACCTCATGAGGTTCACCTGGGCCCACTTCTCCAGCTTGTCCTGGTCCCTCTGTACAACATCCTGTCCCTCAGGTGTGTCAGCCGCACCACACAGCTTGGTGCCATCTGCAGACTTGCTGAGGGTGAACTTGATCCCACCCTCAGTGGTTGCAGTACAGACCCCTGAGGGGCACCCTCATCACCGTGTGTTCATGGTTACTTTTAGCATAATGTTTCAGATTATTCCATACAATAATAGATATTTCAGTATTCTACATAATATAATTTTAAGAATAAATTTGCTCTTTTTGAATTTGAGCATGGATTAGTTTTATTTCCTTCCCAGCTCTACCCCTGCTCTGTCCCAGGACACTGTAATACCCATCAGGCAGTTCATGTGACACAAAGGTTCTTGACTGTCAGTCTTGGGTTTAAAACAAATCCTTTTTCCATTACATTATCCAGAACACCATGCAACTACCCTTGGCTTAACGCTATAACAGGTTTGAAGATGACAATCAATAAACACAATTACATTTTACTTGTGAAAGTAATCTTTTATACATTCAGTGTTCCAATTCAAAACATTTCACCTTTTTTTCCTCTATCTTCACATTGTAGTACAAATACCAAGTGAACGTAGATGGGACTGTAGCAGCTTACAGGTTTCCATACCTCTTGCTGGGTGACAGCCTAGTATTGAAGCAAGATTCTCGGTACTATGAACACTTTTACATTGGATTAAAACCATGGAAACATTATGTTCCAGTTAAGAGAAACTTGGAGGACTTGCTAGAGAAAATAAAATGGGCTAAGGTAAGTTCCATTACTAACTCAAGTTCAGAGTGATAAACAAACACATTAAGAACTTATCTTAATACTCTCTTTGTATTTCCACTTATATATTTTGCAGTGAACTTTATTGAAAACCTGGGATAAAGGAAGTACATTTTGTTATCAGTATAAGATGGGAAGGCCTTAATTCACTATTCAGGGAAATACTTCAGAATTTGTTTTAGGTATTTGCAGAAGTGTTTAATGAGTCAGAGCCTGAGTATACTGACTAATGCAGGTAATTTTCAAAGAAATGCCCAGAATCCCAGACACTACTTAATTAACTCTGTCACTTCTTTAGGTCCTGACTAGAAGAGAAGTCATTGCATGTTCTGTTTGAACGTACAAAACATCAGTGCTCTGTAACATGCTCAGAATAAGACGCTGGGATTCTGTTACCAAACAAACCGATACAATTGTGCGATTGAAAACACTATTTGTGCTTTGAGTGTAACTATTAGGTTAAAAAAAACATAGGAAAAGTTTCTGTTCTGGGAGTACTGTAGTTCTTCATAAAGAATCAGATGAGAGTTCTAAAAGCTTTGAAATGTAGACCTAAAAAACTTGAGAGTAAGTACATGAATTCAAGCCGAGTTATTTTTAAAAGGAAAACATTGAATTGCATTGTACAGGAGAGTACAACAGCTATGGTTTTTATCTTCTGTAAAACTAAGTATGTGTGGGAGGTGTCAGACCTGATTTTCAAGAGGCTTGAGGCTTGGACAAAACAGTAGAGCAGTAATCAACTGAGTTTTCAAAATTGTACAGTTATCCATGAAAGTTGGTATTGATAGCCCTAAGGTACCAGTTGTGACCATAAAAGCAATCCAGTATTAAAAAAAAAATCGGCAATTTAAAGTGTGCCTTTGCAGTCTGCCAGTAATTGCACATGAAGTTCTCTTCTCGGTGACAAACAATGATAGGACAAGGGGTAACGGACACAAGCTGGAACACAGGAGGTTCCACTTGAATTTGAGAAGAAACTTCTTCTCAGTGAGGGTGACAGAGCACTGGAACAGGCTGCCCAGAGAGGTTGTGGAGTCTCCTTCTCTGGAGATGTTCAAAACCTGCCTGGACGCCTTCCTGTGTAACCTCATCTAGGTGTTCCTGCTCCGGCAGGGGGTTTGGACTGGATGAGCTTTTGAGGTCCCTTCCAATCCCTAACGTTCTGTGATTCTGTGATTCTGTGAAGTTGCAGATTTGAATAGTCCCTTTAATGAAACTTCTAATGCCAGCCAGGCTTTCAGTAACTCACTGATTGCTCTGTTATTCATTCATTTTGTCCCAATTTTCCAGGAAAACGATGAAGAAGCAAGAACAATTGCTAAAGAAGGACAGTTAATGGCAAGAGAATTACTTCAGCCTCACAGGCTTTACTGCTACTATTATGAAGTGCTTGAGGTTAGAACAATAGATCCCTTTATTACTTTCCTCCAACAGCTGCTGCTGCTATATATTTCATATTCAGTCCTTACTTACATCGATAGCAGACATGGTCCATGTTATTCACAGGAGAGCAGTGTGAAGAGCTTTGTTAAAAATTACTTCATTATTCAAGAGGTAACCTGACATAAGAGTTGTTTTACAGAATTAAAATTCTTTTCGCTCCCATCCCCACAGTTGTCAGACCTGTTTTCAGTGTCACTTGGTATGTGCTTTCTAACAGACATAGGAGATAATTTGTACACAGCTTTCTTCCATTTTCCCTTCGTACTTATCCCCTCATGAGTCACTCTGCTGTATCACAAGACAGGGAATACATGGAAAAGAAATACCAGAAGTTTGGCTAGTAGAGTGGTAAGCAGTGGAGCAGGCCAAATAGTCATTGCTTCCCTACGATGTGCAAATCTCCAGTGAAAGAAGTTTCTGTTCTCCGAAAGTACTAATTTCTTTTTCCTGTTTTGCTGTGCAGAGGTAGGTCTCAGCTTCAGCTGCCACAGGTTGACACAAAGTTTGGAACTGTTCAATGTACAAAAATGACAGATTATCTGTATAAAGTGGTTAGAGGCACAAATAATGACAATATTTAAATTGCCATTAATAATAGGCCAGGGGAAAACATTAACTGAGGTTTTCAGAGGCAATGTAGCCTATTAGTAGGTGTGTTATAAAGACACCTTGTAAAAAGATTGTAAACAATGACATAAGGAGCCTGGATAAAGGCAAGCTTGTGAGTGGAAGGGAGGAGGAGAATTCTGTTTCGGGAATTAAACGTTGGTGCTTACAGCATTCTTAAATGTTGTTTACATATTTCAGAAATATGCCAAACGCCAAGCCAGCAAACCTGAAATACGGGATGGAATGGAGCTTGTGCCTCAGCCCGATGACAGAGACTCGGTGTGCAGCTGCCACAGGAAAAAGCCTTTAAGGGAAGATCTATAACTGTACCGGATGGAGAGAATCACCCACTTGCAATGCACAAAATTCAACAGGAATTAAGCTGTGAAGTCTAAGACACTTAGGCACTAGCAAACATTCTTAGTTATGTATTCTATTTACATATCCTTTTTCACACTGACTCTGATGCAACATGGGTTCCCACAATTTTGACTCCATGACTACCACTGGACAGATACTGTAATGGGGAGCGTCTAGGGCATTTGTTTGATGTACTGCACCATCAGGAAGAGCCCAGTGCTGCTTGTGTTCCAGCTGGGACCTGGTTACCAAAGGTTTATGAGGAACCAGTCATCCACAAAAGTTCTTCCATGAGTCAGTGCAAGTTATTCTAAAGGAGCATTTGCAACATACTAAAACAGTGTTATGATTTCTTCATAAAGTTTACCTCAGTGTTAGATTATTTCTTGTATACAAAACAATTTTCTTACCAGACAATGAATATTTGAGATTTACAGATACCAAATCTGGTGTTGCTTTAAGATTATTTTGTGGAGTATGACAGGTAACAGACTACAGAACACAATTTATCCATTTCAGAGAAAAATGGAGAGGAGGGAGACAGATCAGAGTAATATTTTTATAAGCACCATGGCTGTGAATCACCAAAATCAAATGCCGCCTTACAGCAAACCATGTAGCTATCACAATCACAATGCTTTGAGTGCCAAGACACCACTCTGAAGATCTGTTCCCCACCACTGATCATCTTTGTGAATATAGACACAGATCCACAAGAGGATTTAGGGACTTCAGGTGAGGGCCAGATGAAATACTGGTATCTTAGTTGACACTGTACAGTATTCTAGGCTACCTGAGTATTCACGCATCTGGAATTTGCTGGTAAAGTTTTACACCGCCTAGATTTTACTTTTGTGTGGAGCAAAAGGTGACACCATCTTTTTCATTTAGGCTCATGAGCTACTTTTCCCTGTGCCTAAGTCCCGAGAGGGAGCTTATCTGTTGTTTGAATTCAGATCATACCTAACCTTTTACTGAGATCAGACAGCAGATCAGACTTCATTGCTTTTGTCCAAACATATGACAGAAAAACCTATGCTGCGCTTTCTGTGTAATAGCCTGGGGGTTAGAGGCCATACTAAGCAACAAAGAAACCAGTTGTCCTCCTTGATTTAATTCAAAGTTGCTTTTTTCAGGAGACTACCTTAGCTCCGGACTGGATCAGAGATCTTCAGGTCTCCCACTGAAGCTGTGCAGCCATTAAATTAACAGTACAAGATTCACAGGGCCAGGAGGTGGACATAGCACTGCACTAAAGTATACCTTTGGGTGAGGCAGAGGAAAAATCCTACTCCTGGTTGCTGCTCCCCTTACCTGTTGATTTTTACCCAAGAAACTGTCTACTTCAACATGCATAAACAGTCCTGATGGAGAGACCAATCCCCGCAGGCACCCATTCCTGTCCCTTGCCTTTTCATCTCAGCTAACATAGCCTGCCTGAGCAGCTTCCTACTCAGCTACACTCAGATCATATCTGCCATGGATATCTAATTCTCCCCACACAAAAATGAATGGAAACATCTTAAGATAGTGGACTTTTCTGCTTAGGTGCCCAAAGTTTAGTGCTCTGCACCTCAGGCTGAACCGATGGGCTGAGACCAATGGGATGAGGTTTAATATGGCCAAATGCTGGGTCCTGCACTTGGGAAACAACAACCCGGTGCAGCGCTCAGGCTTGGAGAGGAGTGGCTGGAAAGCTGCCTGGATGAGAAGGACCTGGGGGTGTTGGTTGGCAGTCGGCTTAACATGAGCCAGCACTGTGCCCACGTGGCCAGAAAAGCCAAGGGCATCTTGGCCTGTATTAAAAACTGTGTGACCGGCAGGTCCAGGGAGGTGATCATCCCCCTGTACTCGGCACTGGTGAGGCCACACCTCGAGTACTGTGTTCAGTTCTGGGCCCCTCACTATAAGAAGGATGTTGAGATTCTGGAGCGTGTTCAGAGAAGAGCCACAAGGATGGTGAGGGGTCTGGAGAACAAGCAATATGAGGAGTGGCTGAGGGAACTGGGGTTGTTTAGCCTGGAAAAGAGAAGGCTGAGGGGAGACCTCATCACCACCTACAACTACCCAAAGGGAGGTTGCAGAGAGGTGCGTGCTGGTCTCTTGTCCCAGGTGATGGAGGATAGAACAAGGGAAACGGCACCAAGCTGTGCCAAGGGAGGTTCAGGTTAGAGATAAGGAGGAAGTTCTTTACTGAGAGGGTCGTCAGAGGCTGGCACAGGCTGCCCAGGGAGGTGGTGGAGTCACCATCCCTGGATGTATTTAAGGAGCGGGTAGATGAGGTACTTAAGGATATGGTTTAGGGGGTAGACAGGAATGGCTGGACGTGATGATCTCAGAGGTCTTTTCCAACCGAGAGATTCTGTGATTCATGCAGGCATCATTCTTGGTTCTACACTTGCAAATTACTCTCATAAAATACATAAATTACTGGACTACAACAGGAGGAAAGACTAAATTTTTCAGTATGTGAAGTATGGAAGGAACTTCAGGTTTCTAAAGAGGTTAATGCCACTGTCCTGAAGTCATTCATTACATTATGCCAGCTAAAAAACCTGGAACATGTTGCTCTCCCCATCATCCTCTTTGTTCTGGTTCTAGCACTCATATATAGTGCTTGTATTTTTAATAAGCATGACAGTCCTAGAACTTCATATTATAAATACATGTTCAGCTCATCTGACAAAATTTTCTACATCAGTTTTCAGGAACAGGGTTCCATTGCTGAAGCTGACACTTAAAACTGAGTATGTTCTCTGCTTGCGTTCTCCATGTACAGTCATTTTTACTGTGTGATACAATCTTATTTTGTGGTGCTATCCATTATACCATGTCCATTTTATATTCGCCAGTATTTATGGAAGTGGTGTGCTCAGCGAAGGCAATTAAGCATACCAGATGGTTGAAGCAACGAAGTTTTCCACCTCTCACACACATATTTCAAACCAAAAGTCCAAAGTTACCTGTTTATATTTTAAAAAAATGAGAGGGAACAGTGGGAGTCATGATGCATACTTTAGGGT